CCCCAACCTTCTAATTTACCCCTTCCCCCCCACCTTTCCCCTTTGGTAACCAGAAGTTTGTTTTCTACGTCTGTGAGTCTATTTCTGCTTTGTAAATAAGTTCATTTGTATCATTTTTTAGATTCCATATATAAGACATATCATATTTGTCTTTCTCTGTCTGACTGATTTCACTTAGTATGATAATCTCTAGGTCTAGGCATGTTGCTGCAAATGGCATTATTTCATTCTTTTTTATGGCTGAGTAATATTCCACTGATATGTACAACATCTTCTTTAACCATTCATCTGTCCATGGACATTTAGGTTACTTCCATGTGTTGGCTATTGTAAACAGTGCTGCAATGAACACTGGGATGCATGTATCTTTTCAAATTATGGTTTTCTCCAGATACATGCCCAGGAGTGCTTTTGCTGGATCATATGGCAGCTCTCTTTGTAGTTTTTTAAGGCACCTCCATACTGCTCTCCATAGTGGCTGTGCCAATTTACATTCCCACCAACAGTGTAGGACAGTTCCCTTTTCTCCACACCCTCTCCAGCATTTATTTTCTGTAGACTTTTTGATGATGGCCATTCTGACCAGTGTTGAGGTGATACCTCACTGTAGTTTTGATTTGCATTTCTCTAATAATTAGCAATGTTGAGCATCTTTTCACGTGCTTTTTGGCCACCTGTATGTCTTCTTTGGAGAAAAGATCTTCTGCCCATTTTTTGACTGGGTTGTTTGTTTGCTAATATTGAGCTGCATGAGCTGTTTGTATATTTTGGAGATTAATACCTTGTTGGCCACATTGTTTGCAAATATTTTCTCCCATTCTGTGGGCTGTCTTTGTGTTTTATTTACAGTTTCCTTTGCTGTGCAAAAGCTTTTAAGTTTAATTAGGTCCCAATTGTTTATTTTTGTTTTTATTTTCCTTATTTTAGGAGGTGGATCCAAAAAGATATTGCTGCAATTCATCCTGAAAAGTGCTGTTCTGCCTATGTTTTCCTCTAAGAGTTTTCCCTCACCTCTTGTATAATCTTCCCTCCCTTTTGCTCTCAAAGTATTTGTTCTGTACCCCTATTATAGCACTCCTATAAAAGCTGAAACACATAACCATTTTTTGTCTTTTGCTAAGTATTTGTTCTGCACCTCTATTATAGCACTCTTATAAGAGCTATATTATTTGTCCTCCTCCTTACCTTGGTCACAATGGATGAAGTATCTCTGCTGCTACAAAAGGTCAAACCCTGAACTCATGACTTGGATCACTTCTCCCACCCATCTTCTCAAGAATGTTGCTTCTTAAATTATCTTCACTCTCTCCTTATCAGTTTCTCTCAGTATATTAGATTACTTCCATTAGCCTTCAAACATGTAAAAATATCTCTCATCTTTTATATAATAATTTATAATATACATACTACAATTTAGTTTAAAAACAACCAAAGGGCAATCATAAGCTATGTTAAGGATTTGGATTTTGTTCCAAATACAACGGGAAGACAATGAAGTTGTCTACTTCTACACCCTCCATTTACTCGTAAATTTGAATTCTTCTTTATCACTACTGTGAAATTCCCCCAAGATCACAATCTCCTTGTTTATAAATCCAACTGAACATGTTCTGATTCATCTTTCTGATCTGCTCATCACAGCATCCAACAGTAATGATGACTTCCTCCCTGAAAGGCTCTCTCTTCTTGCCCTTTACTGACATATCACAGTCACTTAGTTTTGTTGTGTTTTCCAGTTCAGCTCATTTCAGCTTCAAGGCCTTAGTGTATGCAGTTTCTTCTACCTGGAATGCTCTCCCACCCCTGTACCCCACCCCCACACTCCCACTCAGAGCCTTCAACCTAATTGAAGCCCACTCATTAATCTGGGCACATTTAAACATCCCTTCCAGAAAAGTATTCCCATACCCTCCAAATTAGTTAGGTTCCCCCAATGATGCTTCCATAGCATCCTTTTCCCCCATAGCACACATCACATTTGTGATACTCATTCCATGTCTATCTTCCTTTGTCTCAAATTCCCTGAGAGTAAGAACCAGGTCTACAAATACATAGAGATACAGTACACACGCAGGCCTAGTACACACTTAATTCATTGTATGATAAACAAAAAGCATCACAGGCCTTACCCTCCACCCAGAGTCCTAAACCTAGTTTATTACTTTCATAATCAATTGGAAAGTTGTATAATAAAGTGCTTGGGCTTTAGAGCCTGATAGAACTGAATTAAAGATCTGGCCCAGTTTCTCATTAGGGAACTTTGAGCAAGTTACTTAACCTCTCTAAACCTCATCCACAAATAATCACACATACCTTGCTATAAAGATTAACTATCCTCTTCTTTTATACTGCTACTGTTACAATATCAGTAATTATTCTCTCCCCTCTTGAATAATGTTTTTCAAACATTAGTCAGAATGCTTCAAACCAGCTTATTTTTTTTTAAAGGAAAAATACAGAGTAGAAAAAATACATCAGAGTGCAATGCACACGTTAAGGGCATACTGTTGAAATACACACAGAATTCAACTACTGGATTATTGGATTGAAATGTTACATGTACATCCTATTATGGGTTGCAGTCAAAAAATTTGAAAAACATTGCTACACTATTGCTACAGATAAATTAATATTATTAGAATATTAAATTCAGTGAGATAAGGACCCTTGGTTTTTTTCACTACTATGTCCCTAGAACCTAAAACTGTCTAGTATAAAACAGCACATAAATATTTGTTGAAAGACTTGAATGATATATCTGGTCCCAATTTAACTTTTCAAACGTATTAATCCTACAGTATTCCTTACTGTCATTTACAGAGGACAACACATTCTCATGCCTGAGCCTGGACTCATGCTATTCTCTCAGAATAACAAAAGTTTCCTCCTTTTCTCAACTCACTAAGCCACTCGATGCCCTTTTACTACTCTGTACTTTCTTATATAAAACCATATGAGAGGCATAAAGTCCACAAGTATAAAAGAAAACATGATATATTAAAAGTGAATATGCAGTACATGAAAAAATACAGTTCTACATCAAGTTCATACAGTTCAAGTTTTAGTTCAGTTATGCCATACATCTGACTAACAATTCAGCATGCCATCTTAAAATTTAAAAGCTCTTTTGGAGGATGACTTAAATAACCCATACTCAATTAAAAATGAGAAGTCTGATCTATTACCTTCTTTTTTCTCTATAGGCATTTATGCTGACAGAGGTACTCAAAATCATACCACTGATTATTGTTTTCATAAAGAGGGCAACACATAAAAATCTGAAGTCATCACTAAGGAATTTAAGTCAGGAGTTTGAGTACTTCAAATCAACTAGCTTTGCAATCCAGAAGTCACTCTGTGCCTCATCCACACATAAGCCAATTTGAAGACTCCAAGTGTTCAGAAGAAAAGAGGCTACCATAACCACTGGTTTTGGAAATTGTTTTCAGAGGCTGAGCAGAATGTTCACAGATTGACCTTTTTAAAGTTTCCACATATTAAGCACTTTCTATGTTCCAGAAATTGGGCTTTATTTATTTACATAAATGTTTCTATCATCTTTGGTCTTTGAAAAAAATAAACACCATTTGGCTGGAACTACTTTCTTCCCCCTTTGGCTACTTTTCAAAATAAAATTAAAATCCTATGTTTTATGCAGAATTATTTGTTAGCATACCACAGAAGGTTCTGTTCTTTCTCTCTTCTTTTTTTTAGGTTATTACAAAATATTGAATGCAGTTCCCTGTGCTACACAGTAGGACCTTGTTTATCTATTTTATACATAGTAATTTGTATCTGCTAATCTTTCTCTTGAAAAAAAGCCACACACACTTTTTATCTTTCCCATATTCAACTACAAGTAGTAAAAAGACTACCAAATATTCTGACACTAAAAAAATTCTGCTTTTCAATTCTCACTTCAAGTATCTCTCACCACCTACTAATTAGCCATCTTTGGTAACCCCTAATTATTCCAGAGTTCACAATCTTAAAAACTTGTCTTCTTTAGTACAACTCCTTTCATTAACTTTATCCCTTCCAGAGGCTGAAGAGTGGAAAATTCCAACTTTTGCAATTTTAGAATGAGGTTATAAAGGGGAGGGGGGGTGGGGAGGGACACCTGACAGTAGCTGCTTGTTTTTTTTCAATCCACTTAAGCTCTCAAAGCCAAAAACACTTAAGTTCCAACATGAGTTTCATATTTCCCTGTATGAAACCTGCTTTCTTAGGTATCAACCTTTACAACTGTAAAAAGAAAAGTGTTACGTATTTCTGAACAAGGATCAGTTGCCAAATAACCTGATGTCCTCAAAGAAAAGGCAACATGAATATTAAACTAAAATTTTAGTCGGCATAAATATAGTACATAATATGGTACTTACTAACACATTAAGAGCAGTACTACTAATTAACTTAAAGATGTGATTTTTGGAACTAGAAAAACATCAGTGTTGGTCTCTGGCTACAAAAGGTAAACATTACTCTTTAATGTTTGGTTTTTCTGCTTCTACCCTATCCTGCCAAAAGCTTTAGCTGTTCTTTGGGGTGCTGTGACTCAGGGTCCCAGAGTGTGGCTTTGGTCAGAACGCGAAACGCGCCCTACAAGGCGCCTAAAAGTTTAACACAATTTGTATTATATTCTCCCAATCCTCTGGGTCTCTTCCACTTCCAGCCGTCCCAGCCACAGTGATTCCGAACTCTCGGGAAAGCTTTGGACTTACCCCAAATCTCTTCCTAAATCAAGGTGGAGGCCCACATTTCCCCTCCCGTCCTGAAGCACCGGCAGAGAAACGTGGGGTCTAAGAAAAGAAACCTCGCACCGCTCCACCCAACAGGTGGGAAGGAGAAGGGATGGACAGCTGGGCCCCGAGTACAACGCAGGCTTAAACAGCGCGGGAGAGGGAGGCCGCAGCCCTAGCGCGGCCTGAAACAAGGCAGGCGCCTTGCTGCCCAGCGTACCACCCCCTTCGGCCAATTCCAAGGCGCCCGCCCCAGCTGACCTGACGACGGATGCCACTCAATGCCATGAGCCGCAGTCTGGGCCAACCGAGCCGAAGAGGGCACTTCCACCGTCTCTGTCCCCACAGACACCGGAGCAGAGGCCACCAACGCCACGGCCGCCTCGTCGAGAGTGCGGCGCGCATGCGTCGGTGTCCCCGGAGGCGAGGAAGTCACGTGATTGCGCAGCGCGCAGGCCTCGCCCTCCGCGGGATTCGGCGGGGGCCGGTCCTGCCCGGCCACGCCTCGCCCAACCCCGCCCCGCCTCGCCCAGCCCAGCCCCGTCCCCGCCCTGCCGCCACGGAGGGCGGGGCCGCTGCTCCAATTCAGTTTTTCCTCCTCTACTGGGACTTGCAGAGCCGAAGGAGAGTGTTCAGGGCCTTCCACACCCCTGATTTTAAACACAGACAGCGCCCCGCCCAGTCAAAGAAAAATACTGTTACTATTTTTGGGCAAACAACTGCCTAGGCTTCACGCCTCTACCTAAAAGTGGTCAGAAATTCAGCCTTAAACTCCTAAATCTCACGATGGTTTGGACTCTGGGTCCACCCAGGTTTCCTGATGGTGAAACAATAGTGGAGTTAGGGGCATGAGGAACTGATTATTAAAGGGATATGTAAAATTATTCCCTGGACAAATGAAGGCTGCATTATTTTGACAATCTTAGCAGTACTCCCACCCTCAGTTTTAAAAAAAAATTTTTTTTTTTTCAAATCTGGCCTCTCTCCTGTTTATATTTCGAGGTTCCTGAATTTACCGACCATTTACCAGGCAATCGCTTGTTCAAGATTCAATAGTATCACAACTGGGCTGCAATTTCCTCCTCTGGAATCTGCCTGCTTCCAGAAATATTTCTCTGCAAGATGATGTTTTCTGTCTATTACCCTGTTAATCATAAATCCCCTCAACAGCTCCTTTGCTTCCAAATATCAAAACCAGTCTTATCTTTCACTTACATCAAACTGCATCTAGTTGCAGCTTTCCCTTTGCATTGCCTCTTCTACTCTTCAAGCTTTTTTGAATTCTCTGACAGTGCAGCCATGCTTTTTACCGGTGTACCCAGTGACGTTTATGTTCACTATGGGAAGAAGCATTTAAGGGTCTCTGATATATATTGGGAAGGCATGCAGACTCTGCCACAAACACTGTCATTCAGTGGCTCTGAGTGCCACAGCTTTCACTCCTCTCCTGGCTATTTTCAAACTTTCCTAAAGTAATCTCAAATTCTTCATCAGTAAATAAGATTATCTTTGAGATTCTCATCTCCTCTAAGAGCCATTTTCTAACACTCTACCTGCTTCTTCAGCTTTATTCACCGTAGATTCATTGTTTCCCTTTATCTGGTTTTCTACATCTTAACCTTTCAAGCCAGTACTATTGCTTTCACGGTCCTGCTTAAAAACCTTCACTGGTTTCCCCCAATGCTTTTAAGAAAAACCTAAACATTTTAGCATCGAAAATATAGTCCTTCGTAATAACACCAGCCCTCTTACTGGTTTCTGCCTTCCCATAAATTTACAAAACCCACTGTTCCCTTTTAAGTGTCTATGTCCCTTTTATGTGTCTCAACCTTTCAGTGTGTTTTCCTCTGTCTCCAGTGCTTGCTCTCCTCACAGGTGAAAACTTAATTTTTTTTTTTTTTTACTTGATGTAGCTTTTGTTGACTTTAAAAGAAATTGTATATCACAATTATAAGCTTTGGGAAGAAAAAAAATATATTATACCAAATAGTGCAGTTTACAGGGTGGCAAGTTCTAAAATACAGTATTTAAAGTCAGGTGATGCAGAAACAGAACAAAAAGTTGGGACAGATGGGAAAAGGTGTTGTTTATTAATGTAATGGATTTCTTCCATTTGCCTCTCCAAATCAACTGTCCACCCTTCTCTATCTTGACATTTGCTCGCTGGTTTCTGGTTGGGTCTGGCCAACACGGTCCTGGAAGAACAGAAGGGAGGAGTGAGGTCAGAGTATTTATTCCCCTAGCTCCTTCCATGCGGTCTCTGTATCACTTTCTTCTTCCAGATTCCAGGATTCCCTAAACCATTGTAAATAGTCCCTTATTAACCACTTGCCAAATTACCCTGATGTTGATAAGCCATGTATTTCCTTCTGGGATTGTGACTGATAAAAGAGCAAAAAACTTCTTATGCCCAGTGTTAGTCGCAGCTTCTTTCTGGGCTATTCAATAAAGATTCCTGTTTATTCTGTTCAAAATGTAACATGCAATGAAAAAGTGCATAAAACACCACATGGCTCATTTATTACAGAACATATTTTCTGTAGGGAATGCTATTTGTTCATTTACATCATAAATAAATCCATCATTGAATAGTGGTGGCTCTTGTGTTAGTTCAAAACATTTAGACTCCTGTATTTAGTGTCCTTTCTTACTGGTTAAAGCAAATAAAATTGTGGCTCTAGGAGATTTAAATCCAAACACAATATGGATATTGTCCCTCTCTACTATTATATGATCTGTGAGATTTAGTTCAAATGGTATCACCTCAGTTCAGTCTTCCTGAGAGTTATTTGGATCCTACAATGCTCCAATTTGAATAACTTATTTTTTATTTTATTATTTATTTTGGCTGCACCGGGTCTTCGTTGCACCATGCGGGATCGTTTTAGTTGCGGTATGCGGACTTCTTAGTTGCAGCATGCATGTGGGATCTAGTTCCCTGACCAAGGATTGAACCTGGGCCCCCTGAATTGGGAGCCCAGAGTCTTACCCACTGGACCACCAGGGAAGTCCCCTGAATAATTTGTTAATCTGTGTAATGGTTTCCCAGCTGTAGAAATGTCAAAATGAAAGAAAGAGGGAGATTTGCATTTTAATTTCCCCCACCCCAGACCCAATTTCCCTATTCCAAGCCTTTTTGTTCTCTTGTCACAGGGCTACTATGAAACTGTATCTGTAATTGGTCATGACTTCCTATAGCAGGTCCTAGGGGATAAAAATCCAAATCCTTACGTTTACCATTTTGTTCTTGTTCTTACCTCTACTTTTATCTGGAACCTCTCTGTCCTGCTCACTGTGACACATGGAAGCTTGACTTCTTTCATCTTCTTAGTTTCTGATCTTTGCAGGTACTTAGAATGTGCTTTTCCTTTCTTTTCTCATTGTCGAATAACTCAATCTTCAGAACTTATTTGAAATGTTGCTTCCTTAAAGATATCTTCTCTGATCCCACAAGCCTGGGTTATGATACTGTTATTTTGCCCATTAAATATCATGATACCTACATTTTCATTATGGATTGTATCTTTACTAGACATGGAGTGTTGGATATAGTATGTTGCAAGATTGAAGTAAGGCTGTATGTTGTTATAAGTTAAGGACTAGGAAATTTCTGCATTCTTCACAAATAATGCTGCAAAAAGAGAATAATGTGAATGCAAGAAGAGGATAGGGGTTATTCTTTCAGGGTGATTGAGTTTTCAGGCTTTAATAGCTAAATCAACTGGGGTACCATGAACGGCTTGTGAAAGAGATTGCTGATATTTGCAAATATATATTGTGTGTGTATGTGTATGTGTATTGCTGTTTAGCTACTGTTTATGTATTCCATGTATATTCATACATATACTCTTTTTTTTTTCCCTCTATTTTTGGCTGTGTTGGATCTTCGTTGCTGCACGCGGGCTCTCTCTAGTTGCAGCAAGCGGGGGCTACTCTTCGTTGCGGTGAATGGGCTTCTCATTGCGGTGGCTTCTCTTGTTGCAGAGCACAGGCTCTAGGCGCACGGGCTTCAGTAGTTGTGGCACGCAGTCTCAGTAGTTGTGGCTCACGGGCTTTAGAGCACAGGCTCAGTAGTTGTGGCGCATGGGCTTAGTTGCTCCGTGGCATGTGGGATCTTCCTGGACCAGGTCTCGAACCCATGTCCCCGGCATTGGCTGGAGGATTCTTAACCACCAGGGAAGCCCCATACTACGCTTTTAAGTATATTCATATTGCTGTGTTAGGTATATATTTTGCTTTTTAAAGTTTTTTTTTTTTTCTTCAGGTATCAGGTAATAATGTGCCCAACTCCAGGAGTTGAATCATAATCAATACAAACCAATTGTGGTAATCCCATTCCTATTTGCCAGTGACTGATTGAGGGATAGAAGGGGTGACCCAGTTCTGGTCAACGAGACATAAAGAGAAATTGGCTGTTTCTATGGGTGAAGGAGAAACTAGTTCTAGACATTATTTGAACCCTGAATCAAGCCAGCTTTGAAGCCAGAGACTTTGACTTCTGTTATAATCATCAATAAAAAAAAATTTCCTTTTTGCTCATGCCAGTTTTTTTTTTCCTTTTCTTTCTTCTCTTCCCTTCCCTCCTTCCTCCTTCCTTTCTTTTTATCCTCTTGGCCATAGATTTAATAAATGTAAAGCTGTAATTTAAATTCAGAACTTTGCCGGGAATTCCCTGGCGGTCCAGTGGTTAGGACTCTGTGCTTTCACTGCCGATGGCCCAGTTCAATCCATAGTCGAGGAACTAACATCCCACAGGCCTGGTGGCGCGGCCATAAATCAATCAATCAGTAAATCAATCAATCAATAAATTCAGAGCTGCCTTAGAGTCAGTTCTCTCACAAGGATCTGAAAGCATTACATTCCTCTTTTCTCCACCACCTGCTTCTCCTCCAGTGTTCTCCATTTCAGTTAATGGCATCAGCATTCGCCAGTCTCTAGTGTGAGAAACTTCTTTAACTTTGACTCCTTTATGTTCCAAATCTAAGTATGTCATCAGTTTAGTCAGTCCTGCCATCAGAATACCTTTCAGATCTATTCTTTCAATTCTCACTCCTGTTATACTATTCTTTAGACCTTTACTAACTAGAATCTGGCTCTGAGCCCTGGATAGTAAGTAGATCACTATACTCTTTCCTATTGAAACTTGCTAGAACCTCACAATCTTTTTCAACACATTGAACAGGCAGACCTTATCTATCCATTAAGCTGGGACATCCTATGAAATCAATTTGCCACAGGAGGCCTTTGGATTGGTGTTTCCATCCAACTATCCCTCTTCTACTAGTTAACTTTTAAAATACACCACCTCCACCCTTGAAAACATTGCTCCAGAATAAATTTCAAACGTATATAACATTTTACTCAAGTACTATTTATTCAGCACCCAGTATAGGCCAAGGCACCCAGTATATGC